CAAATGCATGTTTTCCGAAATTTATTGTCTGAATGGCGAATGCGAAGCCATAAATCATAAAGCAAATGACAGCAAGCAGCTACCAAGCTTTACTACTTTAAAACGTAAATAAAATAAATTATTATAAATAGCTGAGCAGAGATATGAATATAAAAAGACATAAGCCGATGCGTGGGTGAGATTATAAGAAGTTGACTTAAGGCAAAGCTGTTTACCAATATTATCTTTACTTGCGAGTAGAATAAATTCTATTAAATTAAACAAAAACTGAAGATGGGAGACAATGGAGTACTTTAATAACATTATTCAACGTACTTCTGTTAAAAGACATCGTTTATTTTAGTATATCGACTATTGCTGCAGTTATACTATCGATATATTAGCCTTGACATTTATAACGATTATTTTTATAAGTTATGCTGCCGATCTCAAAGCAATATTCTTATCGATATATACAAAGGAATTCATATTAGCGCTAACATCAATATCGATTAATTATGTAAGCTATGCTGCAGCTGACCTTTCCAAATGAGCTAATTTTGAATTCTGCTTTGTGCATAATGTAATTAAACATAAATAGAAGCATCTGCCTCTTGCAACTGCAAAGTTTCACGAGCTGAGCTGTGTTATAATTAATTTTGCACTTTGCAATCTGTATAACAATTTCGTACTGCACATTTGGGGGAACTTCTGCTGCTGTGTGTAATCATTTGATGTAGCGAATAAATAATTCATGCGCCGCATTGTACGAGCTGCGCTTTAGCTGTGATCGCGCGCGGTACGAGCTTTAATTACAGCTGGGCTATGATTAAATTATAATGCTGCTCGGTCGACCTTTTAAGCGTCCCCTTGACGCTGGCGTCGCAGCTGTTGCTTTTAATTAATTTGCGCTTAGACGCCGAGCTACGAAGAAAAATTACCAGCCGCCCAAGCGAGCGAGAAAAAAATGAAATTAAATAAAATAGAAAAAGTCTAGCTCAACGGTTTTTGGTCCTGGCGTCCAGGTGAGAAATGAACAATGTTTGCGGCCAGTAGGCAGCCGCCATCGTCATTACGCAGATTTCTCCAAGGTACACAGACAAAAAATAAAAAGGAACAAATTGCGCTGGACGTGCTCCACATCCGAGACGCAGATGTGGGTCAGCTGTTGGTCACAGTGGTGCTCGAGCCTGCACTTCCGCTACATAAATTGGCGAGTTTTATAGTTTGGCTGAGCTGTGGGCGAGTGGGACGTGTGCTGGACATGTGGTTAGACAGATGTCCCACTAAATATTTGGTTTTGGTAATAGGAATTTCTAATACTACTAATATAGGATAGCAATTTATATGAGGAATAGTCACAAATATTAAATAAAATGAAAATATATTGAAAATGAATTTTATAAAATTCTACAATATAACATTTATACATAAAGTGTGTATAGCTGCTCTATTTAGTTTTTAGTCACGAATATCAAATGAAATAAAAACCTATTGAAAATAAATCTAGTCAAATTGTGGCAACATCAAATAATTCAAGTCTTAATAGATGCTCTAGTTATTTTTGCCATTGGGCGCCACAAAGCAAATCACGTATACGACAAATTTGTTATTGAGATTGATTTTGTCAGGCTGTCAACAGATAAAGAGAAAGTGGGCGTGCGAGTCATTCGCACGTAAAATCAGAGAACTGCTGACCATGGGATTGAACCCAGTACGTCCACGTGCTCAATTGAAGACCGTCTGACGAATATATATATATATGTATATATATATTTAGAAATGTGCAGAACAAGAGATGCGACATCAAAATGCCAGCTAGCCTCTATAGCAGAACGCAAACAGTTGACATAAAACAACGCTGATAAAACAGCTGCCTTTTGCGAAAGTTCCGCTTGGAGCTCTCTGGTTTATGTTGCTTGACATTATATATTTTCATGGCTAACGCCCCGGCATTTCTGTTGCTGCTTGATTAATGTAGAAAGCCAAGCGAAAGTCCGGAATTGTCGTTGGCGTTTTAATAAAATGCAAATTGATATCGTCACGAATTCAGCTTCAGTTTTAAAATCTAATTTAGTCTTTATATTCAGCTACATAAGCCAAGCCAGATATTGTTATATATTTTCTTAGAAAATTTGACAGCTAACGCAATAGACAGCAAAGCAGGAGCGTCACATTAGGACGAGTGAAAGAAGAGAGTAAACTTTCTAGAGTTGTTTCAATTATCGAATTTACTGCATATGTATGCTATTTTTCATGTATAATAAGTTTTCTTAGTCCGATTACTTTTCCCTTATTTAGTACTCATTGCATACTACATTACCCGCTTTTGGGCCCATTGCTGACTTGGCTGCGCTCCTGCTGCCGCTGCTGCTGCCCATTTGAATAAACACATTTGGCTGCCGCAGAAATTGGCGCCTTTCGCCGCTTCCTTTTGGAAAACTGTCGCTGCCCACGCGAAAGAAATATTGAACAGTTTCGCTGACACAATTTCTGCTATTTGCTGTTGCTCTATGTTTGCAAATTTGAAGCGAAAAGAAATAATCCAAAGAAAATGTTTAGCATTCAGCTGACGTTCTATTTGTTTACAATCGAAACACAGGCCCCCCCCCCACATCCCTATGCGCAGCAGAGTTAAGGCTAATGACAGATGGCATTTGCTAAATGCTATAAAATGAATCCATAGAGATATCAAACTAAACTTGAACTAGCACACTCTAAGCACTGTTCATGGCAAGGCACGTAGCAGTGCGAGAGGCAGAGATTTGAAAGCTCGTCAAAATTTCAGTTTGCAGCGGCAATTGACAAGAGCTTTAACCAAATTCATGTCGGGCCCAGCCCCCCTTTGTGGCTGTCACCGAGCGCCAGAGGGACCCAGACTCGATCATGCATATAAACCCATGCAATATGCCTGGCTGTCAGCACAAATGCCCGTATGTATCCACATCCGTATCCATGCCCGCCCACACGTGCCCCATTCTCAGCGAACGCGACGCAGCTCAATAAATAAAAATTTATTTGCGCTGCCAGTGAAAATCGCTTATAGTGTTTGGTTTTATTTACAATCACACGCAGATATCATCGCTCTACTTCAGTGCTTAGCTGCATGTGAATATGTGTACATATGTATGTATGTATTTATATATATAGTCATATATGCAATATTTGGGATTTTATTTCATACATTTCATGCTGGCATGTTTTCATTCCATTTGGTTACCTTTTGTGTTATATTATATATTATTTATTGTTATATCTGTGAATTTTCCTAAAAATATTCGACTGGGAATTTGCGAACTGTTTGCGTTTAATTGGATAACGTCAAGTGGCATATTTGATTAGAATATTTTTAAACAATGTTTCGTTGGTATTTTTCGCACAATAAATATGCCAAATTCATATAAATATTTTGTAGCTATAATTTATTAAATTCTGAATGTATTAAAAGAACCGAGCCTGGATTAAAGCAGCATAAATAATTGCATGCCCTGCAGCTCTCACATAATCTATACAAACCATGTAAACACACACACACACAGACATACATATATACATATCTGAGTTAAGCTCATTTGCAATTTTGCCAGCCAAAAATCGTCAATTGCACTAATTATGCAAGGCGCTGGCGCCCAGGCCAGCCTTGTCGACTATTTGCAGCTAGCTTTTGGCCCTTATGACATCAGTGCATGGCTCATCATAAACGGGCGAAACATGGCCAAGAAGTGGTGCGGTGGGGCACGTGGAGCTGGGCCAGTGAGCCGGAAACACTAACGAGAAAACTCTGCAACATTTTTGGTGGCAATATTTTTGGCAACGATGTTGCCGCTGGCACATTTCTGGCTGCATTGCCAATGAGGCTGCAATTTGGCAGCATTTTGTGGCCACAGTCGCAGCACCTGCACTCCCCCTCTCCTTTCTCTCACCCCTGTTGCTTTAATTTATGTGGCAGCGAATCGTTGCAGCATTTAGCTTGATTATTCATCATTTTAAATGGAAATGGGAAACTAAACGAGTCGCTGTTAGCCTTAATCGCGCTTTAAGCCCACTGAAGTTTAGTCAGGTCTTGCTCGAATGGGCACAGACAGCGCGTTGCCTTAAAGGATTAAGGCATTAACATGCTGGAGTACAAGCTCTTTGTTATTTGATGGACGCATCTGTTGGCCAACATGACAGCCAGACGGCGAGCCACAGCTACAACTTGAACCAGAACCAACAGCTGGACCGGCAGCCGGATCAGCACTTGGCACAGCTCTGCTGCCAACGACAGTTTCACGCTTCATTTGCATAAAGAGTCGCTGTACATTGCGCACCCAAAGGCAGAGACAACTCTACGAAAGGGTCGAGCGACTATCGCAAAAGTGTCGATAATGACCCGACAGCAGTTTAGCAGTTTAGCATTTGGAACTAAATAGCTTTAAAGCTAGAGTTTTATGGCGAGTTCTACTTTATGAATTGTGAAATGTAATATTAGGTCGACATTGTATTATTTGTTCGCCGACAGCAGTTGCGGTCGTTATATTAAACATGGCACTAACCACATTGCGTACACGACATGTTGGCTGCATAAATTAGCTTGGGCCATTACCCCAGCCACAATCGGGGCTTTTCATTCGGTTCAGCCGCGTGGCAGCGCCATCTGTTGTCGCCTTTGCATTGACCTTAACCCCGCGCGCGAGCAGCGTTAAGGAAATGGAAAACAAAGCAGACACAGCAAACACAGCAAACACAGCACAAAGCAAAACTAAGCCAAAAACATAAATATTGTCAAGCGAGCAACAGCTAACGGTAAACAGCTGTTTGGCCCACATCAGCTGGCTTGGAAGAGCGCCTGCGCAGCAAAGCCCAATTTAAGAGAGTCTCTGGGCAAGCAAAGAGCAAAGCCTTTGCAGACAGCGTTTGTCTTTGTTTGACTTTGCTTGTTTTTGTTTGACTTTGCACTGTGATTGGGTTCCACATTGCCTGCGACAGCTGTGGAACTTAACTTAGTTTCTGCCTTTCCGGCCAAATTACTGCCAGCAGTTGCCGCCAAATGCTGCTGCGAATCGCGCACAGCTCGATTGCCGCTCGCTGCGTTTAGCCAGGCTACGCGTATTCTCGTCTTCGGCCAGTGTCGTCGTCGTTGTCGTCGCTAGTTCGTCCATCGTCAGAGTCCGGCTCTTCGCTGCGAATTATATCATGCGAATTTTCGGCAATGTTGTCTCAGTTCTATTTTGTATTTCGTGCGCCGCGAATCGGTTCTAATAGCCGCACGATCGGCTCCGCTCATTAAACAATACGTTCGCTATCGTATGGTCAGCGAAACTATGTGAAACTTAAATTACTTGAACTACATTAGTACATAAAAAAAAAAAAAAAAAAAAAAAATGAAAATGTGTGTAACATTTAAATAGTATAATAAATAAATAACTTTATCTTTGCGAGCTGCAGTCCCCAGTTGCTGTAAGTGTCCTGAATTATTATAGCCCCATTTATCATGTGCTTAACGTTAGAGATGCAAATTCTAAATTCAGTGGGGAATATCATTTCAGATAGAGTCAATTTCGTGTTAGCTACGAAATAAATTTATAAATAAATCTCGTGTATTTTCTTTGATTTTACACAACAAATAATTTCATATTTTTCATTTTACAATTTCGATTAAATTTCCACTCAATTGCTTCTGGAGCAAAAATGCTTTAATCATTTGTTAGAGACCGTTGAAGCCACAACATTTTCCATTCATTTGAGAATGTTCAATTGCACAATACGCCTGAATAATTTGTGTGTTTCTCGATTAAAATTAATGAAGTGTTACTAATGTCGGCTAAGAAACATTTCTCAATTTCCAATTGCTGGCAAATAGTCGGCTATTAATGTGCATGGCAAATAATCGAATCAAATTATTTTCTACATTTTATTTCGTTGCTTTCATAATATTGCAGCTTAGTTAATTTTAAGGCAACTCTTTGGGTGGGAAAAATAATGTCCCTAGCCAAATAGGACAATACCGAATGCGAAACAATTCAAGCAATCTCGAAATGGCACTAGGAATATAAAGGCGCACGTTGCTGGCACGTGACGACACAAAATAGAAAAGAAAGTGCTACTTGAGAGACAATAAATAAAATACGCTGAATAAGAACAAGAGCTAGAACAAGACGAGGAAAATGCATTGAAAAGACAAGTGTGCGACACTTGAGTGTATATGGATGGCTTTGCTAGGGTTATGAAACAAGCTCCTCGAATTGGCTGCCAATAACTGGAAAAACAATGAGGCACAGGTAGAAAATCAGGACATGACAGAGAGATGGAGTGCATTTTCAATTGTGCATTGAAATGAAATTATTCAAGTGATTTTCCAGCCATGCAACACAACTCATTGGCGCATTGCAGGCGCATCTCCCACGCTCTCTCTTTCTCTCTCCCTCGCTTTCTCCCTTTCTATGACAGGTGTGTGCAGCTGTTGTGGCAGCTGTGTTAATTAGAATTCGTGTTGCCATTAATTGAAACACGAACGGGACAAGCGTAAAGCAATGAAGCTGCTCAACAGTGGGCGTCATCAATCAATGGCCTACCCAAAACTTAATTAAAATCCAACCCCTCTGCGTATGCCCTTTAATGGCCAGAAATATCTATCAGTCTCTGAGGCTAAGTTTCATTATTTCTCGCTTAGCTTCATTTCATTTATTTTTATTTTTATTTATTTATTTATTTTTTTTTTAAGTTTTGAATAAAACTTTTACAGCTGTAAGTTTAGCGCTTGGTCATGGCATCCAAATCAAAGCACTGCTGGTCTGTTTTCGTGTAAAGCAGCAGCATCATCATCTGCCTGAAGTTTTAATCAAAAATCAGTTGAAACTTTCAGCGCGCGAACTGCTGACCAAACTTTCTCGCCAAACTAATTCCGAGCCAAAATTATAAAGTATTTTGGTTAAATCGGAACAGAAAAAATAAAGAAGAAGAGAAATCGTAGTGATGAGCTATTGCTGTCTTGAAATTAAGTAAACAAGCAATTTGCATAACGCTGCGTATACGCAATAAAGTATTGATATAAGAATCAGGGCCTAAGCCACGGCCATATCAACATGGCTTTTCCCTTATTTATGCCGTTTCCCGTTTCCTGCTGATTGAATTTCGCTTTGATTCTTTGTCATTCGCCATTTGCCTTTTTGTTTTGTTTTTGCTATTGAGCTGATATTATTAGAGTTTCCTTTGTTTTCGTTGTCGCTTTCGTTGTTTTCTTTTTTATTTTTGGCTTTCGTTTCTTGTTTTTTGTTGATTGTTGATTGTGTATGCTTGCGTAATTTGAGTTGATATACGATATGCCAGAAGTTGGGCGCCTATCATGTGGCCTCTGATTGTTTCATATTAAATGTATTGCTGCGTTGCTGACCTGGCTGGCAGTGCGCCCTGCTCGCGTTGCCACAACAATTGCCGCAGGTCGTGGGCCTTGCCATTTTTTATGGCTCACTTAGACGCAGATTTGTTTGCAAATGATATGTCAGCCAAGTCGCACGTAATGCCAATTATCATAAAATTACATTTTTTTCCCTCTTCATATTTTTCTTTTTCTTTTTGCCGGATTTATTTATGAATTGGCTGCTTACGTGAGCTGATGTACGGCAGCAATTGCTGGAGCTATTTATACAATTGCAGACAAATAAAGAGACGAAAATTAAGATTTAACAGTGGCTTTAAGAAATGTATAGCTCTGCTTAAACAATCTCATTTATGACATTTAAATTATTGTAAAATGTAAAACATTTACATTTAGTATTAAAGCTGTCCATGTTTAGCTTGTTCTCAGCAAACTTTTTCCTACAAAACAGAGAGAGATGTAGAAAAACAACTTTCCTTTTATTTAATAAAACATTTCAAGTTTTATGATAAACAATGGCCAACAACTTGCGCTGCAGCCGGCGCTTTCCGCCTGCCAAATCTTTGCTGTCAAATATTGTTTTTAGAGCACTCAGAACTAAGCCTCGTAAAAAGTTGCATCCGCTTGTTGCGGACTCTTTGGGCCAACAATTTATGGCGCAGCAATAAGAATTGTGACAACAAATTTAGCAGCTTGGCCAGAATGTTGGAAGTCGGCAAAGGGAAGGGAAGCTGCATAACTTAATATACTCCACATTAACTTTAAATGCAGCGAAATTTATTCACTTGCGCCTCGGTTTACAGGGCAAAGTTGTCAAACCAAATTTATGAGCTCGCCTGAAGACGATGGCTGACTTTTGAATAATGCATATAATTAAATATGTATATATATTCATCTTCACAAATAAATCACTTTTGGCAATGCGAAATGATTATTTAACAGCTTGCTGCAACATTTGAGTGAATTCTGAATTGCTGTGAAATTGCTTGACCGCCTCTTACGTGCCCCAAGCATATCAGCTGCCCAGTTGCCCCAACTGTCCGATCTGTGATGGTGCAACATGCGGCATGACTATTAAAATAGACCAGACCCAGCTGAACTGGCAAAAAGCTTAGCTAAGAAGGTGATAGAGGGCATCATTTGCCACAGCTGGACAATGAGGCTGAAGATACTTTCTTTGAAAGGGCATATTGAAAAAGAGAACATTTTCATTTGCATCAACTTACTTTAGAGTATATAGTCTAGGGCATTGCATAGTCATGCATAGCCTGCAAAACTGTCAACATGCTGCCTCACGTTTTTTGATGACAGCAATGGCGGGCGACGCTGTTAACGACTTTGCGACACTTGGTTCAGGTTAAGGGCAAAGTCATGAAAGCGCTATAATTCGGTAATGAAGGCGGACACAGCTGCAGACAGTCACTATGAATTAACCATAAATATACATATAGAAGACGAGCATTTTAGATAACGAGCGAGCGCCCCCGTCGATCCCAAGCTGACTCGATGGCCCCGCCAACAGCCCATTGCACTTTAAATAGGCCAAACGAATGTGTGGCCAAGCTTATTCCACTTTTTTATTTTTTTTTAATTTTTTTTAATAGACAGCTCAGTGAACATTCTGGCACGTTATTGAAAATCAAATAAGACTGAAGACTGAAGACTGAAATGCCAATGCTGAGGCAGTGCAACTGCAGCATGTGCGTGAGCCGCTTGCTGATGGCAGGATGGTTGGTTGGCCTGGTGGTTGGGTGGGTGAAAGCGAAAGTGCATTTGAAGTGTTTTCTTCTAATTTCGCTAAGGGTGGCGCGAAGCGCAACGCAACGCAAATTGACACACTCTTTGGCACAATTGGGTCATAAACTAGTCCAAGGATCTAGAGCTGCAATCAAGCTTTTGTATAATTCGAACTAAATAGGCATGATAACCTTTTTGATTGAGCGCACGTATCTGTGAGTGAGTGCTGTGTGTGTGTATACGTGTGTGCTTGTGTTTGTGTAGAAGTGTGTAAAGTAGTTTGGCTTAGTTTTTATGCGTCGCCTGCCATAAACTGCGGTCAGCATGTTGTATCATGTTTTCGCTAGGGTCGCCCAATTAAATAATTAAGGTTTCTGATTGATTGCGCCATAGACTATGAAAGTGTTTACTAATCAGTAAGTTTGTTTACATAACTAGCTAGCCTAGACTACTTGCCTGCTTCGCTAAGTAATTGGACGGACAAATAATTATATACGTATCTTGCTTCGGCTTGTGGAAATTATGAAAGTTTGTCACGTTCCAATTTAGCTCAATGTATATTTATATTTGTTATACAATCCAGTTCTACTTAGCTATAAACTGCAATTGAAGGCTTTGCTACAAAGTTTCGAAATAGCAATTATTTTATGTGCATTAAAATTTCATAGCCTACTTTCAGGCGGAAGTGTAATTTGTTATGACAGGACTTGAAAGAAACTAAACTGCGGGGCCATTTCGCTTCCCATGTCAGCCAGCGCTCGCACCTAATTCAATTAGTCAACTTCATTGTTAATTAAAACAAACTGCGCTGCTCACAGCATGAGCATGTACGAGGTCCTGGGACACGCCCAATTGAGTGTCAGCTGGCTGTAATGTTTTCTCTGTGTTACTTTGTGGCAACAGTGCGTAAAATAATTAAAAGAAATATATATCAGTGCTCACTGTGTGTCCTTGCTGCTAAGTAGATTTCAAATTATTCCATTAGTGCTGATGACATTTGGCCTGGCTCTGCCAAGATGATATGCCATGCGATATGTGAAGTGCTAATGTGCCGCCAGGCTGCCTGGCTGCTGGCCAAGTTAATTAAATACTCGTATGTGCTCGGGCAGTAGGCGCCGCCGGATGGGAAGCCAGCTTAGCATACACACTCGCACACACACACATACACATATGGCATACGACTATTAATGTTCCAACGTCGGCTGGCAAAAGCTCAAACAATTGTAAAAAATTGGTAAACAAATCGCGGGAAATTAACCTTTAGTGAATGGAAGCATAAGAAATGAAAATGTAAATTCATCGCACGCAGAGCCCAAGCCTGACTGCATGATTTATGTCTGCGAAT